CACTGATGTGGTATTGTGCAAACATCTGATTTAATGATAGCTTCTTTGGCAGGGGAAAGTTGTGCTGATCTGTGAGAAATGACAGAGCATCTTCAGATTCTGGTCCTTGAGGTTGCAAACTTCCCCACAACCCTGAGCCTCATCTCACAGACTCCATTTCCTGCTTCTTCAGGAATAGTGTGAAACCTCAATGGTTAATGCAGGAAGAAATGCTTGTAGTTTCGATTTCAGTTCTATTTATTTTCACTTGCTTTTTGACTGGCTATAATACCCTGTTTGCTTTTCAGCTCCTAAGAAGAACGGTTAGTTTTCTGAGGAGCCAGCTGAGGAGGAAACACAAGCAGCGAATAAAGGCAACTGAGAACGTGCAGAGCCCCTGCCAGGTGAGTTTGCTGCAGACCTGCCACCCATGAACTTGTCCCTCAACAAAAAACAACAGCAAATTCCATTCTGAGGTTGCATTGGAACGTGCAGGAAGACCATGGGAGGCCACTGGGAGGGGTCCCGTGGCATTTGACAAGGGCTGTGTACCCCTCCCACCCCCCATCTCAGCTGCTCTCTCTGCAGAGGCAGCAGGCAGGGGAAGTGTGCTCCCTCCTCCTGTCCTCAGTGGTCTCCTGACTTACCTATACCTGCCCTCAACACAGTCATGAGAACCTGCATTTTCTCTCATTTATCTGGGGGCCTTACCTTATTCCCTGCTTATGTTCTTCTGAGGACTTGTTATTATCAGATAAAGGTTGATTATTTTGTTTATTATCTGTTTCCCCACTGGATCAGAGATCCTTGAGACAGCAAATTGCATTTACTTAGTAAGCTCATTGATAATGGATCTCTAGAACAGTATCCAGCATGTGGTAAGTACTCAAAACATATTACTTGACTTAATGAGAGAAGAAGTTCTTTTGTAATGCTTAATAATATTTCTTACCAGTGTTCATCTCTACCATTTCTCATTCTGCCTCTACTTACCTAAAAATATTCATATTCTCAGGGCTCTGACATCAGTGCTTTGCTTTCCTCAATCTCTTCTGAAAAATCTCAGGCAGTGCCTTCTAGTTCTCTCTCCACATTTAAAAAAATATTTATCTTTTAAGTTGTAGGAGCACACAATACCTTTATTTTATTTTTATATGGTGCTCAGGATCGAACCCAGTGCCTCACACGTGCTAGGTGAGCACTCTATCTCTGAGCTACAACCCCAGACCTCTCTCCACATTTTTTAAATTGGTGTATTATAGTGGTACATAATGATGATATTTATTATTAAATATTTGTGCATACACATAATATAATAATATAATTTGATCAATTTAACTCCCTAGCACTCCTCTTAACCTCCTCAGTTAGACTTATTTTGCTGAACATAATGGTTTCATGTTCTATTTATTTTCCTGCAAATGACATGATTCATTTTTTTAATGACTGAATATATCTCCAGTGTGCATATATATCACACTCTCTTTATTCATTCATTTGTTGATGGTTACCCAGGCTAGTTTCATAGTTTGGGATCATGAACTGTGCTGCTATAAACATGGTTATGGGTGTATCACTACAGTATGTTGACTTTAATTCTTCAGGGTAAATACCAAGAAGTGGTATAGTTAGCTCTAAGTGGTATAGTGGTTCTATGACCAGTCTTTTGAGGAACCTCAATACTGATTTCCAAAGTGATTGTACTAATTTACTGTCCCACAAACAGTGTAAAAGTGCTCCTTTCTTTACACACCCTCTCCAGTATTTATTAGCATTTGTGTTCTTGATGACTGCCCATTCTGACTGGTATGAGATGAAATCTCAGTGTAGCTTTGATTTGCATTTCCCTAATTAAAAACTATATTGACCATGTTTTCATGTATTCGTTAGCCATTTATATTTCTTCTTTTTAGAAGCGTCTGTTTGGATGATTTGCCCATTCATTAGTTAGGTTTTTTGTTTGTTTTTCAGTGTATATATTCTGGATATTAATCTTCTGTTGGAAGATTAGCTAGGAAAGATTTTTTTTCCCATTCTGTAGGTTCTTTCTTCACATTCTTAATTGTTTCCTTTTGTGGTCAGAGACTTTTAAATTTGATGTCATCCCATTAATTAACTCTTGGCCTTATTTCCTGAGCTTTAGGGGCCCTATTGAGAAAGTCATTGCTTGTGCCTGTATGCTGAAGTGTTGATCTTATGTTTTCTTATAGGAGTTACAGTTTTTGGTCTAATTCTGGGGTCTTTGGTGCATTTTCAGTTGATGTTTGTGCAATATGAGAGGAAAGGGTCTTGTTTCATTCTTCTACATGTGGATAATCAGTTATCTCAGCATCATTTGTTAAAAAGGCTGTGTTTTTTCCCAGTTTATGTTTTTTTTTTAATATTTATTTTTAGTTTTCAGCGGACACAACATCTTTGTTTGTATGTGGTGCTGAGGATCGAACCTGGGTCGCATGCATGCCAGGCGCTACCGCTTGAGCCACATCCCCAGGCCCCCCAGTTTATGTTTTTGGTATTGACATTTGTCAAGGATAAGATGACCATATCAGTGGGTGTTTGTTTCTGTGTCTTCTCTGTACCATTGGTCAGTGTACCTGCTTTTATGCCATTAACATGCAATTTTTGTTATTATATCTCTAAGTATAATTTAAAGCAGGTATTGTGATGCTTCTAGCATTGCTTCATTTTTTCACTTGCTTACAATTGTTTTGACTACTCTGGATTTTTTATCTTCTAAATGAATTTTAGAACTATTTTTCTAGTTCTATGAGGAATAACATTGGTATTTTAATGGGATTTGTATTGAATCATATATCATTTTGGTAGTATGGCCATTTTCACAATATTCTTATAATTAATTAATTCTAATTATTCTAATTAATATTAAGCCTGTGGATCCATGAACATGGGAATTCGCTCTATCTTCTGGGTTTTCTTCAATTTCTTTCTTCAGTTTTCTATAGTTTTAGGTCTTTTACTTCCTTGGTTAGATTTACTCCAAAGTATTTTTTTTTTAGGTTATTGTAAATGGGATTGTTGTCCTGATTTCTTCTTAGGCAGATTTATTATTATATATAGGAAATATATTGATTTCTGTATATTAATTTTGTAACCTGCTACTTTGCCAAATATGTTTATTAGCTCTAGCAGTCTTTTGGTGGAATGTTTTGCATCTTCTAGGTATTAGATCATATGGTCTGCAAGCAGGAATAATTTGACTTCTTCCCTCCCCATTTTTATCCCTGGTATTTCTTTCTCTTGGCAGGCAACACTTTTGAGTCCTTATTGGAAATAAAAGATAATGTATATAAGTCATCTATACCAGAACTTGACATGCTGGATAATGTTTTTTTCTTTTAAAAACATACAAAATGTAGAAAGTTAATATAAACATTCCACAAGCAGAGAATTGACATGAAAGTGCATGTCAATAGCCATCAGAGATGATGTCAAGATCCTGGGTTTCACTGAGTGGCTTTTCTGAGTTACAGGTGACCATGGCATCTGAATCTACCATGAAGTCCCCCATTTGTTTAGTGGAAAACTGGAATGAGCAACTGACAGTGAATTCAGAAGCCTTGAGGATTCTTGAAAAGATATGTCAACCTGTGGTCGTGGTGGCCATTGTAGGGACATATCGTACGGGGAAATCCTACCTCATGAATCAACTTGCAGGACAGAACCATGGTGAGTGTGGTCCTGGGGCAAGGGAAGTTGCTTCTAACCACAAATAGGACAAGTTGATCTCACTTTTTCTAGGGTCATCTTAAGGAAGAGGCTGATCAATCCTTTCCACTAAGGAAGATTTCTAATTCTTACCAGCATATTTATAACCTCTCACCTATCCAAAATTATCTCATTCTTTTGTCCATTAATAAAGAGCTTCCCAATCTTATCAAAATATCTGCTTCACTGTTCTTCCTGATGCCATCCACTCACACCTTCTCAGGGGCTGAGCTGTAGCAATCACTCCCTTTCCCCTATCTGAATCCTTTTGTCCAAGCAACATGGCCATTTGATGTAGCATGCAAATATAGTTAAGTATGTCCTTAAAAAAATGGATGGGCAGAAGGATGCACAATAGGCTCTCTCTATATCCAATATCCAAATTGAGCTACCAGTCAATTTTTTTCTCTGTTTCATAGCAAATCTTTGACAAATTAACATGCTGCTCTCTTTGTTTAGTTTTTTTATATCATGCAAACTATAACAGAGTACAACATAGTTAATAAATATAAAGTGAACAATTATATAATCACTATGCACATCAGGAAATAAAACCTAACCAACATTCAAAAGCCCAAATCATATCCTCTCATACTCTCACCAAAGCTCATCCATATTTGGGTTTTCAGGGGACACTCTACTCTTGCTTCTAAATAATGTTTCTATAGTCTATTATTCAGTCTACAAAATATCTTAGTTCAACTTTCTTTTGACTTTTATGTAAAAGAGACTGTGGTGTATGTATCCTTGTGTGTCTTGCTTCTTTTGCTCAACAAGAAGTTTATGAGCATCCTCTGTTTGTCACGCATATCTGTAATTTATTTGTTTTCAGTACTTTAGAGTATGCTTGTACCAGTTTATTTATCCATTAGTTGTTGATGAGCAGTGGTGTTATTTCCAGGTTTTATCTTTAATGAATAAGGTAGTTATAAATATTCTTATATTTATATCCTGGTGTGCACATGTACAAAACTCCTGTGCCTTATATCCAGAAGTGGAATTTCTGGATTGCAGTTTCCATATATGTCTTCATACTTTTGTGCCATTTACATTCTTTTTCTTAGGTTTCCACACATCCTGAAAATAATTGGTAACATAAGACAAACTCTTAAATCTTACTGATCTATGAACTGGATAGTTGTACATTATCTATCTCACTATGAATACAGGCAAGCACCTGGAAATTTATATTTCCTACTATGTGAAAAGTCAGTCTTCTAATCTCTGGGGTCCCCCGCACCCTCTATCTGTCTCTCCCTCCACTCCTCCTTCCTCCCCTCCCTTGTTCTGTTTTTCTACCTCTCTCCCTTCCTTCCATTTTCCCTCTCTGCTTTTCTCCCCTCTTCTCTTTTGGCCATTCTTCCATTGTGGCCTAAACAAAGCATTTTGTCTTCCCATTCTTTTATATTCTTTTATTCTATAGTTTTCATTATAGAGGTCTTTTACTTCCTCGGTTAGATTTACTCCAAAGTATTTTTATTTTTTAAGTTATTGTAAATGGGATTGTTGTCCTGATTTCATCAGTCAAGGAAAGACACTTTTTTTCTTACCTGTAAGAAACAAATTAATAAGCCATATTTTGAGAGATGAAAGTTTTGAGACTCTAAGACACAGATAATAGAAAGGAAGTTTCAGCAGTATTGTTCTTATTTTCTACTCAAGATAACATCAAGTGGATTGGGACTGTGGCTCAGTGACAGGGCGCTTACCTAGCATGTGTGAGACATTGGGTTCAATCCTCAGCACCACATAAAAATAAAATAAATACAATAAAGGCATTCTGTCCATCTAACAACAACAACAACAACAACAACAACAATAATAATAATAATAACAACAACAACAACAACATCAGGCAACAATGAGATCATTGCCAATGCTCTGCTAAAGGAATTTATGGTTCCAAAGTACTTTAAACATCTCAGCTGTGACTCTCCAACCTTCCACATCATAGTGTCATAATAATAACAGAAAGAAATTGATTCACTTCCAGTCGAGGTTCAAAAGCAAAACCAGGCCATTATTTCCCTCTTTGTGGATGACTCATTTTCCTTTTATTATACCTTGGATTCTTGAGAGTGATGATTTCTCACCACACTTTGTCCTCTCTAAAGTTAGGCTGGGAATTAGGCTTACCCCATACCAATCAGAAATCAGATGCTACCATTATATAAGAAATTGTAGACTTCCTACCTATTTATGGAACTCACAGAGGCTGTGGAAATGGGATGTCCCAGGTCATGCTGAAACAATCCTCTAGTAATTTTTGTCACTTCCTTTCTATTCCCAGTTGAAGAAAGGAAGCATTACTGTATGCAGGTGGTCAAAGTCTTGGACTGCTGGACAGGTCATGTCAGCCACTGGTTCCAGGACTAGTCTTCAAATCCTTTCTCCTGTGGGATTAAATGTTTGTAAAGAAAGTCAACAGGTGTCACAGGTCTTTCCTGCTTTCCCTTCATTTATATCCTCCTGATGGGGCAACGAAGTACAGTTCATAGGAGAAAGAAAAAAAAAAAAAACTCAATAGGGAGGGAGAAAGGGGAGAGGAAACCTGCAAAAGCTAATGTTTCAGTACAGTACAGGTCTTTGCAGGCCACAGCTGACCAAATTATTATCTTTCCATCACTATAAGAAATACCTGAGATAATTAAGCTGATGGAGATAAAATGTTGACTCACAGTTGTGGAGGTTTCATGATTGATTTGCCCTGATGCTTTGGGCCTGTGGTTAGGGAGCATATCATGGCAAGGAGGCTTATGGAAAAGCAAGAGTCTGCTCACCTCATGGCAAACCAAAGAGGAAACAAAAAGAAAGAAGGAAGAAATCAGGATCCCACAATCCCCTTCAAGGGCACCCCTTCCCCCATACTCAATAATGTGAAGTCCTCCCACCAGGCCCCACCTGTTAAAGGTTCCTCCCAGTAGTGCCAAACTGGGGGCCAAGACTTAAATACTTGTGTCTTTGGAGACATTCTGGATCCAACCCATAGCACCCATTCACAGGGTAATTGAGCATTGAATGGAGGAACTATTTCCAAGGTCAGATTGTGGGTAAAGGAATCCAGCCAGGTGTGATAAAGCACCTGGTGAGTGGCAGTAGCAGTGGCTTCTGGTACACTGTTGAGGTGAGCTTAGAGTGGATGCCATGGTGTGGCAAAGAGAAGAACTATTGGATGGACCTACAGGAAAGGAACAGTGACCTGAGGTAGAGGAACAAGCCCCTGGGACACTGTGGCCCAGCACAATGGAAGCTGGAGGAACACATGTTCTGGTCTCCCACTGGTGTTTCCAACTGGTTGAACTCAGCCTGCAGCCAGAGGACACTGCAGCTCTTCCTGGTCAGATAAAAATACATAGGATGACAGCACAGGATGATAGATTTTACACTAATTCTTAAGGTGAAATAATTTGAGCACTTGAAAGAATAATGTGAATTTGAGGCATGAAGGGGTTTTTTGAGAAAGATAGACAACACGTGGATTATTTATCCTTGTGAAATACTGGCAAACACTATGCTTGCTTGACACTGTACATTCCTACAGATTTAACCACTGGAACCCCAGACAGCTTTACCTCTCAGCTTCACTCTATGTTGCCTTCTCCTCTTCCCTCACAGGCTTCCCCCTGGGATCTACAGTGAGGGCTGAGACCAAGGGCATCTGGATGTGGTGTGTGCCCCACCCCAGCAAGCCAAACCACACCCTGGTCCTCCTGGACACTGAGGGCCTGGGAGATGTGGAAAAGGTGAGGCAGAGAATGTGCTGTACTCTTTATTCATGTGCCATTCAATTGGTCACCTCAGTTTGACTATCATGTCATATTCCTGTACTTGCAATTCAATTATGAATAATGAGGCTAAATTCCATTTCCTCAAACTTCCCTAAGCAACCTAAAATACCTTGGTTGTTTGAGTCAGTTTTTTTCGCTGTTGTGAAAAAAATACCTGACAACAACAATTTTAGGAGGAAAAGTTTATCTGGGGACTCACAATTTCAGAGGCCTCACTCCATAAACAGCCAGCTCCATTCCTCAGAGCTGGAGGTGAGGCAGAACACCATGTGCAAGATGTGGCAGAGGGAAGTGGCTCACAGGATGACCAGGAAACAGAGAAAGAGACTCCACTCTTCAAATACAAATTTGCACACCAAAGACACACCCCCAGGGATCCACCTCCTACAACCACAACCTACCCATCTTCAATTACCACTCAGTTATCCATCAGGGGATTAATTCACTGATGGTTAAGATTCTCATAACCTAATCATTTCTTTCTTTCTTTTTAACTTTAAAGAAGTAATAATTTTCTTTCAAAAACACAAAAACTTCATATTCAAAAATCAGGTTAATTCTAACACATCTTATTCTCAAAAAACTTGTATCATGAAAGATAAACTGAACCTCTCTATATTTTATATCTCTCTGAGAGAATATAAATGGGCTTTATGTTGTTGTTACTGTGGTTTTTCCAATACTGGGACTAAACCTAGGGGTGTTTAACCACTGAGCTACAGCCCCAGTTCTTCTAATTTTTTTTTAATTGTTATTTGCTCTTTTTAGTTATATATGACAGTAGACTGTATTTCAACATACCAGATATACATGGAGTGTAACTTCCCATTTTTGTGGTTGTCCACGATGTGGAGTTATACTGCTCATGTATTCATACAGGAACATAGAAAAGTTATGTCTGTCCACTCTGCCCTCCCCCACCTCAGCATGTGCACATTAGAGAGAATATTAGGCCTTTGATAACGCAATCATATTTCCTTTGAACCTTCTTGCATTATTTCACATATAAGCTTTTGGGGAACACCCCATATCCAAACCATTACTTCGGTAAATTAGGACAGATCTTTTATTTTTAATACTGAGATGTGCAATTTAATTTAATAAATATACATTAAATAGCTGAAGTCCAGGGCTCTGTGCTAAGTACTATAAATATATCACTTAATAAGGTAAAGACTTAGAGCCTGGTTGTAGAGACAAGAAATATGGAATGAAATCAGTAGAAGGAAAGAAATGCAAAAAGTGGGAAACTGATCCAGCCATGAGAGTTAGGGAAAGCTTCCTGAAGAAAGCTCTCACCTGTGGGGTCAATGGGTTTGGTACCTTTATAGGTAGAGGCCATGAAAATAGCCTTTTGTTGAAGGAATCCATTTTAATAATCTTCAGTTTTATCATTAAGATTTTGGTCCAGGTCTCTGAGCTCCGGATGAAATTTTCACCATCTAAAAGCATGAGTTAGACCCAACAAAAATATAGCAAATGGTAAAATTTTAGATAATTCATCTTTACATTATTAGTTGCAATCAGTCTTTTCTCCTAATTTATATTAGTTTGAATCTCATTGATTTGTAATATGTTGTAGTTTGCATAAAACCCTTTCTTTATATCTAATTGCAATTTTAAAGAGAATAAAACATAACCCGAAGGCAGCAAAACCGATGGCTGATGTTAGAACTTGTAACAGGATCTGGATCTATTTCAAAGCCTTTTAAGTCTTGCTGTTATCTCATTTCAGTCCTCTTTTCACTCTGGCCTGCACATTCACTGCTTCAGTGAAATAAAAGAAACTTGTGTTCTAACCAGTGAGACTTGCTGCTGCTGGTCCTTCCACTTGCTGGACCCCTGCATCTCCACAAGTCTATATTCTATCAGCTCTTTAAACCTCAGCTAATGACTTCTTGCTCTGAATTCCCAGAGCAATTATTCACATTCATGGGCCTCTCCACTCTGCTATTTTCTTTTCCTGCCGCAGTCTGGCTGGGCACAAAATCACGAGCCACCACACAGCTTGTAGATTCAAACAGCAACTCTTTATTCCCGAACTCACACCAGCCGTCTACAATCACGTTCTGGGGAAATCCACGTTCTCTGCCCAAATCCACGTTCTCTGCCCAAATCCACCTCCACTGGGCTTCTATCTCCAAAATATACTGTCTGAATCCCGTGAGAACTCAAGGGGAACTCAGGCAGCAGGATACGCCCTATTCCCAGCAGGAATAATCTTAAACCTTAAACCTGGAACCTAAACTGGGAACGCCCTAAACACGATTATCTTAAAACCGGGAACACCCTAATCTGCCTTGGTCCTTGAGCAAGGTCACCTACATTCAATGTCACTGCAACATGTCAGCAACATGGGGTACGCTGGCAAGGAAATTGTCATACCTACTTGGCTAATGGCTCCCAGCATTTTCCTTTTTCTTTTTAAATAACTTTGGTTTCCTCTCCTCACAGATTATCATTTGAGCTGTGTTTATATGTTGTTACATGTAACTTTGCCTTCATAAGGTGATATTCCTATGAGCAGGGACTATCATATGGAAACTTTGTATCTACAAAAATCAAATGCAGGTCTGGCATTTTGTCAGATGTCGAAAAAAGGGTTGTTGAACTTAATTGGATAGTGCTTGCATCCTTAGTATAACCATGATTATGATGAAATTTGTAATAACAATTGCCCACATATTACGGGACATCTACTATGTTCTAGGCATTTTTTAAACTATTTTATGCACACTGAGAATGACCTTCATTTGCCTTCATAGCTAAACAAACTAATATTCTGAGAGGGACCAATATAAATATCAATAAAGAGATTTGAATTTAGCATTATCTTATAATTTTGTTATTTCCCCTATATTCAGAAATAGTATAGCTAAAAGAAGGAATGAAGCCAAGAGCGGTGGTGCAGGCCGTAATCTCAGTACTGGGGAGGCTGAGGCGGGAGGATGGTGAGTTCAAAGCCAGCCATAACCAAAGCAAGGTGCTAAGACCCTGTCTCTAAATAAAATTCAAAATAGGGCTGGGGATGTGGCTCAGTGGTCGAGTGCCCCTGAGTTCAATCCCTAGTACCCTCCCCCACACAAAAAAGAAGGAATGAAAAACTACATAAATGATGGAATGAAGAGTGGACTACTAAATTCTTTGTTCCCATGTGATTTCTAGGGTGACCCTAAGAATGACTCCTGGATCTTTGCCCTGGCTGTGCTTCTCAGCAGCACATTTGTCTACAACAGCATGGGCATCATCGACCAACATGCCCTGGAACAGCTACAGTATCCTTCCAAGAACCAAACAACTATGTCTCATTGAGGTTAAGAGAATGGCAACTCAGGCTGTTTCTTCTTTCTTCTAACTTAATTGTCTTGATTGAGTAAGAATGGACATGGGGTGCCAGGGTTGTGGCTCAGTGGTAGAGTGCTTGCCTAGCATGCGTGAGGCACTGGGTTTGATCCCGGGCACCACATAAAAATAAACAAGCAAAAACCAAACAAATAAATAAATTAAAGGTATTGTGTCCATCTACAACTAAAAATATATATATATATTAATAAAGAATGGACATGGGGAGAAAAGAATATTTATAAAACTTGTTTCTAAGGGAGATCTGAAAATTGTGGTGCTTCTCATTCCTTAGCTAGGATCCCAGCTATGTGACTGAACTAACACATCTAATCAGGGCAAAATCTGACCCCACACCAGATGAAGTAGAGGACTCGTCTGAGTTTGTAAGTTTCTTTCCAGACTTTGTTTGGACTGTTCGAGATTTCACACTGGAACTGATGTTGGATGGACACCCCATCACAGAAGATGAGTACCTGGAGAATGCTTTGAAGCTGATTTCAGGTATCCGAGGGTGGCCTTGGTGTGGGGAGGTTCAATAAGGAAGTGGGATTAACTAAGCCCTGTCTTAGTGCTTGATATACCTGTTTATTTGCGAATGGATTGAGGCCCTTGCTAATGATGATTGATGATTGACAAGTGACCATGATTTTTATATTTACTTTATAAAAATCTTCAGAGGCCCAAATTTAAATTCACTAAGGAAATTTAGGCCTCATTGTTGCACCATGTATGTTAGAACAATAGTACAATGAAAAATAATGAGGATTACAGTCAATGCTACCACTTCTAAGGCTCATATATTACTTATGAAGTGTTACTGCTTCTTCTATTTTGAGGAAAAGAGTTTATCACACTAGATATGAGTAAACCTAGAATCACAGGAAATATAAAGAATTACTTTTAAAAATATTTCACTCATTATACTAAAGTAGATAGTTACATCCTTCAGAGAAAAGATGTTTGTATAATGAATCATTCATGGGTGGAGGGAGAAGCAACACATAATTCCAGGAATACTGTCTAACCTTTCATTTTACCTTTTTGACAACATCACCTTATTTATCCCACAGACTTACATGGTATCATGTTACTATTACAAATGTAATCACATGGAGTATATTTAACAGAGTAGATAAGTACTGGTACTTATCAATACCCATGTGTATTCATTCTTTAAATTAACATCTATTTGAACAGCTGATTTATGCCACAGAATATCTGTGAGACAAACTCAAAATAATCCGATATCAAGAAGTACATATTAAATTGAAATTCACTTTAATGCAGTTTTCTGCTGAAGGAATTTCTAAACATAATTATGGTGTGTGGATTCGGGGCTTTGATTGAGAAACATTTTCTCTACAGTTCTGGGTATCATCTGTCCTCCCAGCAGCATCTGTCCTTATTTCTAGCATTACTTTAGTGAAGAGCCTACATCTTCTTTATGACATGGGACTACAATATCAGAAAAGTCTTTCTGACAATTTTTGTGATTAATCAGTCATTTCAAACTTTTAATAAATACTTTACAGTGGGTTTACCACTACACAAGGGTTAAGGAGACCATTTACAAGTTTCTCCATTTGAGATGAGTATCTCTTCTTTCTCTCCAAAAATACTTCCTTGACTCTGAGCTCTGATAAAAAAAAAATGGATGTTCAAGTTAGCATAACACTGCTTTCTATGATTGAATAAAGATAAACAGGCTTGGGCTGGGGCTACAGCTCAGTGGCATAGTGCTTGCCTTGCATGTGTGAGGCACTGGGTTCAGTCCTCAGCACCACATAAAAATAAAATAAAAAATAAAGTCATGCTGTCCATCTACAACTACAAAAAAAAAAAAAAAGAAATTAAAAAAGAAAAGATCAACAGGCTTGAGAATTACATTTAGACAAAGATTCATAGAAAAATCTCAATCTCTTTGCCTGAAGGCTTATCTCCTGAATCAGTGTTCTTTTTTATAGGAAACAATAAAAAAATCCAAAAATCCAATAACTCTAGAGAGAGAATCAGATGTTTCTTTCCAAAACGAAAGTGTTTTGTCTTTGACCGGCCTACAAATGACAGAAGCCTGTTATCTCACATTGATAAAGTTCCACAAAACCAGCTGGAAAAGAATTTTCAGGTGCAATCAAAGAACTTCTGTTCCTATGTTTTCACCAATGCGAAGACCAAGACCCTGAGAGGGGGAATCATTGTCACTGGAAATCGTGAGTTTCTGTTGTCCCAGTGCGTGTCTCTGGGGGGTTCACTATGTATGATAACACTGTGATTCTTTTGTGAGTTTGTCAGTAATTCTGTTTGCTTTTGTAAGAAATGTGGAGAAGCAGGCATTCATGCCACACTCAGAAATGCATTTTCCTAGCCACTAGACCACCAGGGAGCCTTATAGTTGATAAAGGGGCTAAAAGCATGCAATGGAGGAAGGATAACATCTTCAACAAATGGTGCTGGGAAAACTGGAAATCCATATGCAACAAAATGAAACTGAAT